TCAGAGTGTGTCAAAAAAGGCACGTATGGCAATATACAATGCTATTTTGGTCCCTACTTTAACGTATGGTAGTGAAAGTTGAGTGTGGCAGAAGAATCACGAGAGTAAAATGAACGCAGTAGAAATGCGGCCGTTGAGGAGTATGTTAGGGCTGAATCTGAGTGACGTCGAGAAATTGTAATAAGAGTAGAGTGTGGCTCGCAAGATGATGTTGTGACCAGGATTAAGAAAGGAATGTTTCGGTGGTTTGGTCATAATATGTTGCAGAAGTGAACGGCAGATTCGGCAGGACGTACTAGGCGAAAGTTAATCGACCAAATTGGCGATATATTGGGCTAAATTAGGAGTACCCTTAACCGACTAGTATGTATGCGTAGGTATATGGAGTGGAGGAGGCGATAGAGGTGTGTCAGGACCGTGCTAAATGGAAGTCTGTAGTCTCTGCCTACCCTCCTGGGTGACAGGCGTGAGTGTTTATGTATGCATTATGTGTATATGTATAATGATGGTAAAACTATCTCAAATGTAAAATGTAGAAAAACTTTGCCTGCAGCGGGGAATAACGTCAAAAGTTAAATCATCTAAAGTGAAACTACATTTAAAAATTTACTACTTTGTAAACTTATGTTACTTATGTGCTAATTTTTAAATAGCAATATGTAAAGTTAGTAAAGTTACAGCCTATATACTTCCCACTGCTGGGCACAGGCCTCCCCTCATTTCTGAGAGGGTTTTAGGGTAAGTAGGTGTCCGCCGCGCTGCCCCAATGCGTGTTGGCGAACTTCACATGTCTTCGAAATATTTTTTTTCTTATTCCTCAGACATGCAGGTTTCCTCATGATGTTTTCCTTCACCGCCGAGCACGTGGTAAAATCATCACTTAAAATTGCAATTAACAAAATTCATTGGTGCCGGCGGGGATCGAACCCGGGTTACTCGCGTTCTGTTATATTTACAGCGAGCGTTAACCATCTGAGCTACCACGGCTCTACAGCAATATGGTAATCCAAAATTCACTATTGTAAATATTATTCAATATTATCTTAACAATGGGGTCATACTCATACATATATAATTGTTAACCTTGGTTCTTTGTCTATATCTAGTAATATATTATAACTACGTTAAAATAAAAGTGAAGTGTCTGTCTTGTTGTAATTAGCGAGCTAACAAGACGTGAATAATCATTGTTAAAATTTTTGTCTGTCTGTCCGGTTCTTCGAAATGAGTGAACCATCAGGAACAGCAACGCCAGGAATGATCTAAGCTATATTTTATCAGAAAAACTTAGGAATTTTTACAATAGAACTGATGAAAGAAGTGGTTTTTGATTATGTTAAGAATAAATAACGCCTCATTAATAGATTCTATCCAGGCGTAGAGGTCGCTACTACTCAATAAAACTGCATTTTTCCTCACAGCGTCATGGCCATCATACCTGGCAGAACAATCACTTAACTACTACAAACAGTTTGTAGGTGAAACTTTAATGTCGTAACAGCTCACCAATACTTTTTGTTACTTAATATTACTACTGTCGTAGTCTAGAAACAACATTAGGTGGATGCAGTAATCTCTGAGAATATTTTCTCTTAGATCGTTTGATTCACTTTCACACGGAGTAACTTTCAAAAGTGTGATCTAATTACGTGAACTTTTATCATAAAAAAACAAAGTGTAAATGAAAGTAACATACTTATTTGAGGTAAGTCAGTGTTAATTTACATTTGTAAATGGCCACGTTAATTAGTTAGTTTAGTTTTAAATTATCTATATTAAACCATAAAACTATATTTTAAAAAGTGGATAAGATCAGTTTACAATAAAATATTTCATATGAAAATATTATCAAAAAACTTAAAACTTGTGAAACTTAAGTAAAACACAAAGCAAATATGTAATAATCATTCAAATATTATTAGGAAAACTATAGTTTTAATAATATATATACCCATACTATGCTCCCTCCTTATGAGCATATAAAATAGTCTAATGCTGATCAGTGATTATCTCTGAAAGTACGGAGATTACTACTATATACTGATCCGTTTTTGCGTATTAAATTCTTTTTATTTATGAAAAAAAAAAAACTCAATATATTATTAAAATTATAATTATATTATTTAGTTTTCCCGTCAAGATATTCTCAGTAGTTGCTCGGAGTCAGGAATTTGGTGGTGTCTCACCCTCGTGCCTCGGAAAGCGCGTAAAGCCGTTGGTCCTGCGCCTGATCTCTCTCTGGTCGTGTCGGTTTACCGTCCCATCGGATTATAAGAGTGAGTGAATAGAGAGTGCACCTGTGCTTGCGCGCATACACTTGGGCATTATAATTCTGTCCTGCGCCGATGGCTAGCCTCCGCTGAAGCAGGCCGCCGTGGCCGAAATTCGGTCTGGAGGACATTTATCGTGGGGGCAGTTACATACATAATTTCACAAGGACAAACATCCAGACCCGGAACAATTATTTTGTAGGCCATACAAATACTTTTTCCGTGCGGGATTCGAACCCGCGGTCCTTAGCGCTTTTACACATTGCTGAGCCACTACGCCACGGAGCCGTCATATCTAGGTAAAAGGGTGTCATAAATAGATAAAAGGTTTTTAATTACCTAGACGGACTTTTAGACAAAAATCACTACGACAAAGATTTGAAGTACACAGCCAATACTCTATCTTAACGTATTTTACGTACTTTCCCGTAGCTAGGTTGGTGGGGTGACGGCATGGCCATCTGGTGGTGGTATAAGGGAACCGATGGGTATTCATTATCATCATTACAGCCTTTCACAAGCCCATTGCTAAAGAAAAGCCTCCCCCAAGAAAGATGGGCTAACCTATATTATAAGAGGCAAATTAGGGAAATGTTTGTTTTTTCTTTTGTGGGCTTCGATGAATAGCGTAATTCCATTTACCATTTAAACTAGACCATACCAGGTAGATTCAATACAGTGAATCAAACATAAAAAATATTAAGTTCAAAAAGGGAGATCGTCGATAGTGCTGTCCAACTGCCGGTGCGTTCTTAATGCCGATGGGGAATGAATGCTGTGTGCGTAAGTGTAAGTGACGCCGGTGCAAACGATATGCTGGTGTGTAATGCATGCCGTACTAAGTACTTGCATGTGATGCTAGTGAGAGATGAGCCGGAGCACGTGCCAGAATTCTGTCTTATAAATCTGCGGCGAGTCGAGATGAAGACAAGTTGGACTGGCTTGTAGGAGCTGAAAACTGTGGAAGACGATTTTCAAGTGTATAATGACGTAGACTTGAAGTTGTAGTTATCCGAAGGTTGTTAGTTGCGTGTTCACATCATGTCCGTTGGTCAAAAGTGCTGGAAAGAAAAGGGGAGATCTCCCGCAGGGCAAGGTGTATTGTCCCGGGAGCGGCAAACGCACCCTGTGGTAGTTCGGGGCTATTCTATATACCTACAGATAGTGCGATTTAGGCTTCTATGTGCGTTTCGCTTGTGGTGCGACGATAGCGTCGCCACTAATGGAATACATAAATACCACAGTTGTTATATTTTTTTAACGTATGTGCATTGAACCTTCTTTCTATATTCCCGCACTGATTGATTGCTTCTGTAAGGGTTTGAAAACTGTTGCTGTTGTCAAAATATCTACTCATACTCAATATTTTATTCGTCGTCTTCTTATTCATCAGTCCTAACAGCCCGTTACTGGGTATGGGTTCCTCCTTTGTACATAGAAAGAATTTGCTACTGTACCAATTATTTTTAGCGGTAACCTTAGCGCTGCTTCCGTTGTTACTACTAATTTGACTGCATATGATACCTGGGTAGTATATTATTTACATATGTCATGAACTCATAATATACAAGATATTATCCCACAATCTATTAAAGATTAGGAAGTTCCTTTACGTTTCTTAATGTTGTTTTTTAAGACATCTGGTCTGGTGCGTTTAGTGCGTTAGGGTAGGAAACGCGGGATTAAGAATCTTCTCGTTTACAGGGAAGAGTAGCGTCCGTTCATTGTCCAGCGTAATGTATTATTTCTCATAATAAAAGTTAATAATCTTGTTTAACAACTTTTATTTAAACTGTTGTTCTGCAGACAGTGTTAAAAAAGATAAAAGACCTACCAACAACAAACTTAATGAAAAGCCTAGATGGCCAGCTTTCTGGCTTATGCACTTGCAATTTTTTTTATTAATTCGGAATAATTTAACTTCTGGACAATAGATTTTTCTATGGATTAGATTCGGAGATAAGACAGTCTTTCCTGACACATCGTAGAAACGTAGGTAAATTTTAAAACTTCGTTTCCGTTTAGCGACATAGTATAGGTACAGTCAGCAGGATACGAAGTGCTGTCTACACATTTGGGAAATATATCCCGGTAATCATAATTTATAATAAGTCTGAGAACTTTAGGTGGCTCTGCTGATTGAAGATCTTTAAATAATGGGTTCAAGCTCATGAGTTCTTGAACCACTTTACAACTAGGCAAATCACAATATGTTTGTATTTATCTTGCAGATTTTCTATTGCTTGACGCAGGCGGGTTTAAACATTATCACAACACGTTACTAAGAATTAGCGCAATGTCTGTTATATAATATAATGAGTTTAAAGCGAGATTATTATTTTTATTATATATTTTGCATAGTATCATGCCAATTGCGTCGCGGGAGTTTACATGTTTTTGATTTAGTTTTGTTGCATGGCACTGGCATCGATTATCTTCGTAAGATGCGTTGTGTTCCGTTATTCTTTAGGTGAACATGGGAAATGAAGGAAATTAATAGCATAAGACATGAAAGAGAAGGGAGATATGGAAATATGTATACTTTGGGTTAGGACATTGAAATTAAGGAAATATACATCATTTTAATATAAAGGTATTCATCGTAGAGTTTTCGCGTCAACAACAGCCAAAATATGTGTAATATGTAATAATATGTAATATGTATACATATTCTAGCACAGTCACCACACGGCAACAGTATTTTACAGCATGATCTTGCATTTTTTGCAGATGCATCTGAATGTCGTGTGTCAATGGGCCCACCGCAATAAATTACTACTTATATTTGCCTTGCTGTCATTCTGCTTTTGTATTTCGACAATATCACTTATTGCCAAAAACAAAAGACTCACTAAAGCCTGCAGTGCACAGCAAGCAATGAACTTAAATGAAATTGCACCTGTTACTCAAGAGAAAATAACACCAAGTTCTCGTAAAGTCCAAGTAAGTCTCCTTAATTTACCGTGATGTTTTTATTGTCTCCTTAATGTAATGTACTCTAATATAATGTGCACCCTATTTCCGTAGCAGATTATTGCTCTATCCCACCTGATAAGTAGTGACGCTATAAAAAATGAAAAAACACACTGACTTAGCTTAACAGAAGCATATTCACTTTTTTTTGAAGACACCTATGGGACGGACGGGCAAGACGGGGAGGGTGGGCAAAAAAAATAATTCGTTTAGTTTACTGTTGAATTGTTAGAAAGAGACAAACCGAGTATCACTTGACGAACGTTACGAAACCGCGTGCAAGTAGTGACCTGCCTAATAGCTGCAGGACGAATGTAACGGGTGCTGTGCGGACAGAATTGTGAAAGTGATTATTGTACAAAAAGATTCATTCAAGGTAATTAATTACAACTCAACTTATTATTTGACTATTAATAATTTACTTCTCGTAAATTAGTAATATCTGTTGGTAGTTTTTTCAGTTTCTGCATATTATTCGATGGTCCTTTTTGTAGTTTCACATTATTTTACTATATTCATGTAAAACCGGATGAGTATTTTGATTTAGAAAGCATGGGCGGGCTAGATGAAATCGGGCATAACGTGTTTGATGCAACCTAATGACTTTTTTAATTATTTTCTTTTTATAACTTATATGAGAAAGAGTGATTTTGCACTCTCTCTGTCTGAAGAAAGTCTGCTAAAAGTTTTGCTTGTGGCCCAATGTACAGCGAATGGATTCAATGTTTTACGGCCTGAAACGATCCAGGACGAATCATTAGTCATTATGAAGTGGCAGAAAAGGAAGCACGATGTAGCTTCGGCTAGAAAGAAAGTAGCTTTTTAGCTGGACACCACCCCTGGACCATCCAAGATTAAGAGATAAAAACTAACTAAGATAAGGGTCCAGAAAGAACGAGAGCAGGACTTCTTCTGCATTATACGTAAAGAAAAATATGTTTCGCCTCCATTGAATGACTGGATCAAGTGCGACACATGCCGAGAGTGGACCTACGAAGCATATTTCTCTTACATGGGTCTAAAATCATATTTTTGTGACGACTGATTTGACTAAATGGTGATTATTAGTTTCTATTCGTTTTGCACGCCTAGATTAGGCAAAACCTATGACAGCGTGATTTTAAAAAATATTCACAAAATGTTTAATTTTTGAGTTATTTTTTTGTCTAAGTTTAAATCTTTAATAACTATTGTTTCACAATACCAATGACTGTGTTAGCGACGACAAAGTGAATTCGAACATTTAATTAACTTAATTACTCCTTATCAGTGATTTAAAACTAAGTGATAGTATTTAATCTTAATTGTTTCCTATTTGTAAAATAAAGTTAAGTGTAAATACTGATTAGTGCTGAAAACAGGAAAGTAGATTAGAACATTAGACGCAAGTATAAGCTTATTTTTCTAGTAAGATTTCTTTTATCATAACTCTAAGAGCTATTAACATATAGGTGATTAATATAATTTTTCTTCCTTTAAAGTAATTCAAAAGAAACATTAATATGTCAATTAATCACTATATAATGTCATTTCATTATGAGAAAGATTTAAATTTTATGAAAAAATATTGTATAGATTCATAAGCATTAATCCTGAAAAAGTGTTGTACATTCCTACCTCTTGGCGGCGCTACTTGTATGTTAGGCAAAAAATACTATCCTACTCCGGAGCTAAACCGTGAAGCGACCGCGAAGCTATTTTTATTTTTTATAAGTGTAAAATAAAGGTTTATTGAATAATTTAGGTTTAGAATAATAGAAATAAGTTGTATCTATCGCTAGGAATAAATATAAATGTTGTAAGGTATGTTTTACCACGTTTATTAAGAAAATTGTAAATCTCTCTTAGAAAGGGTTATTCTGTGCTCTGATTGGTCAATAGATTCACTAATGCCGTGTGCGATTTTTTCTTAATTATGATTGGTTACAGCCGCTTATAAAAAAGGGGCGTTTTTTCGTGGTAAAATATTCCAAATCCGGCAATGTAATAATAAGGAATCAAGAAATAAAATAAGAAGAAACTCTCAAGAAGTGTTATTTATTGCTCATCTAACTGCTACTGTATGCTCTCCAGTTAACATCCCGCCAGCAAACCCGCTCTATTTTATCGACGCTCCCTTATACGAGCAATTACATTGGTCCTTCGAGAAGCCGGATCGGGTTTAAGGAAAACTAGGAAGATGCCTTCAAATACAAGATCAAAATCAGTGCAGTCGAAGACTACGAGTGAAAGTAACGCCACTACGGGTACCAGTACGACGGATTGGAGCATGAATACGCCGAGTGATTCTACAAACACGACGGCTACTAACACGTCGACTTCAGATCGATCGACGCTTACAAGAGCATCGCCCAGCAGCGTACACAGACAACCCTTACTTCTTAACAAGAACATTGCCGAAAAAGAATCAACACCGGGGGACGTAACCCATACCACCCCCCCGACACGCACCGTCGAAGCGTCAGTTCCTCACCAAGAAGAAAGTCATCCAATGCCGCAGATTCAAGGAAGAAGTGTCGCAATGAAGACTATGCAGCAGCCTCACCCTAAGAAGACGACCCGCGATCCAGACACGCTTTCCGTTCGCTCGTCGCATAGGAAGAGAGCAGAAGCGCAAGCAAAGATGACAATGGCATTAAGGGAACTAGAATTGGCAGAAGCGCGGTCAAAAGTTGCTCAAGCGGAATTAGAACTTCTCACCGCAGAATCAGAAGAGGAAGATGGTGCCGGAGAAGAGCTGTTCGAACGAACTCGAGAAGTCGAACGCTGGTTCATCCAGACCGGAGACATGCCTAATAAGAACCACAAACCAATAGAGGCAGAAGAAAAGAAAAGTGACATCCAGGAACTAGCTTCAGTCATACTAAAGCTATCAGAAAAATCACGTGACACCGTTTCACCGAAGCACCTCGAACTCCCTCACTTCAACGGGGCCTGCGAAGAATGGTTAGCCTTCAAAAGATCATACGAGGATACGGCTGCTTCTTTCAGTAGCAATCAAAACCTAGCGCGCCTTAGAATAGCGATCCAAGGAAAAGCTAGAGAAGCCGTCCAAAGCCTGCTGTTCACCGCCGAAGACCCACGAGAAGTAATTAAGGGACTGGAAGCAAGATTCGGAAGACCTGGAGCACTAGCATTAGCAGAACTAGAAAAAATGAAGAACCTTCCAAGAGTCGGCGAAAACCCGAGCGACATATGCATATTTGCAAGCAAAGTAAAGAACGCAGTCGAGACAATCAAAGCCCTGAAGAAACCACAGTATCTCAGTTCACCTGAAACGCTGAGAGTTATAGTAGACAAGATGCCGACGTCAATGAAGTTCCGTTGGTTCGCCTACCACAGAAGCAGAAGAGATGAGGAAATTCAGGAGCTATTACTTATCGAAGTGTTCCTAGAAACAGAAGCCGACATGTGCGGAGACTTCGCCCCGCCCGAAGCATCCTCAGAACAAAGAAGAGGAATAAGAAAACCCGTTCATTTGGTTCAAGAAGCGTCAAAAGAGAAATATAAGAAGTCGTGTCCGTTCTGTGGAAAAGAACACTTCGTATTAGAATGTAAAAGGTTCAAAGAAGCCAACCTGAATGAAAAATGGGATATGACCAAGAAGGCAAAGATATGCTTCAAGTGCCTTCGATTCAGACACTCAAGAATCAACTGTAAAGCACCAGTCTGCAAGCTGTGCAAAAGATGGCATCATACCATTTTACATTCTGACAAACCACCGGCGTCGATAGAAAAAGAAGCAAAAGACACCAATAGCACCTCAGAAGAAAAGGTCGCCTCAATTCATAACGCCAAAGGAGAAGAAAAGGCCTACCTAAAGATGATCCCCGTGAACCTCTATGGCCCAAAAGGACAAGTTCGCGTATTGGCACTACTAGACGAAGGGTCAACGGTCACACTCTTAGACGCATCAATCGCTGAGAAAATCGGAGTCGAAGGAAAGAAAGAAAAACTCACGATTGAAACCGTCGGCGGAAAGGTGTTAAGAAAAGATAGTTCACAGAAGATCGAGTTCAAAATAAAAGGGGTTCATAGGAAAGAAAAGAGAACTATCGTAGCAAGGACCATCGACAACCTGAAGCTGTCTGAACAATGCATAAACAAGGACACCGTGAGAAACTGTAAGCACCTGAAGGCAATTGAAAATCAACTCCTCTACGTCACCGAGAGGCCCAAGCTACTGATAGGCCAAGACAATTGGGGACTGATAGTGACAAGAAAACTGAAGAAGGGCAAACCATCAGATCCTGTAGCTTCCCTCACGAACTTAGGGTGGGTGTTACACGGATGTGAAACAGGAACAACTGCCACAGTACACTTCACTCATTATGGCAAAGCGACCACTGGCGAGGAAGACATAGAAGACCTCGTCCGAGAACACTTCCAACTAGAGTCTCTAGGGATCCAAAATCGTTCACCATATAACGACAGCGACAGAAGAGCATTAGAAACCCTCGAGAAAACTACCAAGAAACTGCCAAGCGGTCAGTATGAAACGGGTCTCCTGTGGAAAAAAGAAGATGAACGCCTGCCCAACAACTACAATCAAGCTGTTCGACACCTGGTCAGCATCGAGAAAAAATTGGATCGTGATCAAGAAGCAAGAAAGCACTACGAGGAGCAAATCCTGAGTCTAATAGAAAAAGGATACGCAGAGAAGGCTCCAGAAACCTCTAACAAAGGAAGGACATTCTACCTACCCCACTTCGCTGTTGTACACCCAGTCAAGAAGAAGCTAAGAATAGTGTTCGACGCAGCTGCCAAGTACGAAGGAAAGAGCCTCAACGACGCCTTGCTCTCGGGCCCAGACTTGCTACAATCACTATTCGGAGTACTGCTGCGTTTCAGAGAGGGACCAGTAGCCGTCATGGCAGATATACAAGACATGTTTCTCCGAGTAAAAGTCAGAGAAGACGACCGAGACAGTCCCAGGTTCCTGTGGCGCGGAAACCGAAGAACCGGCAAGCCTGAAGAGTATAGAATGTCTTCAATCATCTTCGGAGCAGCGTCATCACCTGCAACAGCAATATACGTAATGAACAAGAACGCAGAGGAATTTAAGAACACCCATCCTGAAGCAGTGAAAGCAATTAAGAGAAATCACTACATGGACGACTATCTGCAGAGCTTCGCATCTATAACCGAAGCAAAGAAGATATCCAAAGAAGTGAAAGACATTCACGCAAGAGCAAACTTTCATCTGAAGGGATGGGCCAGCAACAACTCGGGGGTAATATCAGAGGTAGAAGACACAAACAAAGAAAACTCCTTACAACTGACCAAGGAAGAGAAGACTCTGGGACTAAGATGGCTGGTGAAAGAAGATGCATTAGCCTTCAACGTCGGGCTACGCAACACGCCGGAAGACCTGCAAGACGGCAGAAGGACTCCAACAAAAAGAGAAGTCACAAGCGCAGTAATGTCCACCTTCGATCCAATGGGTTTTGCTACACCAGTTCTAATACAAGGGAAGAAACTAATCCAAGACATCTGGCGAAAGAAAATAGACTGGGATGAACCAATCAACGAACATCAAAAAGAAGCCTGGATGAAATACCTGGAAGAAGTTTCAACATTAACAAGGCTGAAGATCCCGAGATGCGTCTCACCCAAAGGCAGAAAAGGACAGCTACACACGTTCTCCGATGCGAGTGAAGAAGCCGGAGAGTAGTAGAGCCCGGAGGAAAGGTCCATGTCTCCATGATCGCCGGCAAAGCAAGGGTAACGCCGACGAAACCTGTGTCAATTCCGAGGCTAGAGCTACAAGCGGCCTTACTCGGAAGCAGACTAGCCGCCACAATCGAAGAGGAATCAGAGCTCGACATATCGAAGAAGGTTTACTGGACCGACTCCAGCACAGTACTACAGTGGATAAAGTCAGAACCAAGGAAGTTCAAAACTTTTGTGGCCAACCGACTCGCCGAGATCGAAGAAAGGTCCAAGCCGGAAGACTGGAGATGGGTGCCAACCAAGGAGAATCCAGCGGACGACGCCACGAGGGGAACCCCAATCGAATTCGACCATAACGCCAGATGGTTCAAAGGCCCGTCATTTCTCCGTCAACCAGAAGAAGAATGGCCATTCCACGACTTCAAGCCAGAAATTGTTATGCCAGAAGAAAAAAGCAAGCAAAAGGTGTTGGCAACAATGGCAGCAGAAGACACCCTACTAAACCTAGAAAGGTTCTCGAGCTGGGAGCGACTGCTGCGCACTACAGCCAGAGTGATCGCCTTTACACACCTACTAAAGAAGAGCCGTAAAGCGACCACCACCGCCGCACGCCAGAAGGATGAGTCCTGGAAACCACAAAAAATCCAGAAGAAAGAAACACAAACCTCAATCCCGTCGACCAGCAGAAGTGAAAATAAACGCCTATACTCACCCATAGAAGCAGAACACCTAAAAAAGGCCGAAGAGATATTAATAAAAATAAGCCAGAACGATAGTTTTGCATCAGACATAAGAAACCTGAAGTCAGAAAAGCCATTAGAAAATTCGAGTCGACTCAAGAAAATCGACGTTTACATTGGAGACGACGGAATAATTAAATTAAGGAGCAGAACAATGAAATTCCACGATCAAAACGGAAGAATAATGAATCCTATCATTTTAGACGGAAAACAAAAAATAACTCGTCTAATAATACAACACTATCACAGGAAATTCCTTCACGGAAACACCGCTACAGTAATGAACGAAATTCGTCAAAGGTTCTGGATCTTGGGTTTAAGAGCAACTCTAAAAGCGGTCGCACACAGCTGTCAATGGTGCAAGACAAAGAAGAGTTCACCAGAGATACCACCAACGGGAGATCTGCCGAGTGAAAGATTGCAGCATCATCAATTTCCGTTCTCCTGCACAGCTGTAGACTACTTCGGGCCGATGCAAGTCACCATCGGAAGAAGGAACGAGAAGCGCTGGGGAGCCTTATTTACCTGTCTCACAACTAGAGCAGTACATTTAGAGCTGGTACCTTCTCTCAGCACCAGCTCAATGATCATGGCACTCCGACGAATGGCAGCCAGAAGAGGAACTCCGAAAACAATATATAGCGACAACGGAACTAATTTCGTCGGAGCGAAAAGGGAATTAGAAGAGGCCGCACAGGAAAAGGGCATCCAGTGGAAGTTCATCCCCCCGGGAGCTTCAAACATGGGAGGCGCCTGGGAGAGGCTCGTACGAACAGTCAAAACGGCGCTAGCAGTAGTCCTCAACGAGAAGAGCCCGCCCGAGGAAGTACTCCATACGCTAATGACTGAGGTTGAACACATCGTCAACTCGAGACCTCTCACCCCGATCAGCATGGACCCAGGAGACGAGGAAAGCCTAACACCGAACCACTTTCTGCTGGGAAGATCATGCGGAGCTATGGCGCCGGGAGAGTTCAGCGACACGGAGCTCATCGGAAGGGCAAGCTGGAGAACCACCCAGAGACTCGCAGACCACTTCTGGAAAAGGTGGATTAAAGAATACTTACCTCTCCTGATGCCAAGGAAACTCGAAGGGAAAGAAACCAGAGACCCAAGGGAAGGAGACATCGTGCTAATAGTGGACGCCACATTACCGCGAAACTCATGGCCTCGCGGTGAAATCGTCAAAACCTATCCCGGACCAGACGGAAGAACCAGGGTGCTGGACGTGCGGACATCAGGTGGAATACTTCGCCGTCCAACTCGACGTGTCATCGTGCTGGTGCCAGCGGAGTCGTCGCCTCCAGAGGGTGCAGTGCTACGCACCGTGGGGGAGAATGTTAGCGACGACAAAATGAATTCGAACATTTAATTTGAATTACTCCTTATCAGTGATTTAAAACTAAGTGATAGTATTTAATCTTAATTGTTTCCTATTTGTAAAATAAAGTTAAGTGTAAATACTGATTAGTGCTGAAAACAGGAAAGTAGATTAGAACATTAGACGCAAGTATAAGCTTATTTTTCTAGTAAGATTTCTTTTATCATAACTCTAAGAGCTATTAACATATAGGTGATTAATATAATTTTTCTTCCTTTAAAGTAATTCAAAAGAAACATTAATATGTCAATCAATCACTATATAATGTCATTTCATTATGAGAAAGATTTAAATTTTATGAAAAAATATTGTATAGATTCTTAAGCATTAATCCTGAAAAAGTGTTGTACATTCCTACCTCTTGGCGGCGCTACTTGTATGTTCGGCAAAAAATACTATCCTACTCCGGAGCTAAACCGTGAAGCGACCGCGAAGCTATTTTTATTTTTTATAAGTGTAAAATAAAGGTTTATTGAATAATTTAGGTTTAGAATAATAGAAATAAGTTGTATCTATCGCTAGGAATAAATATAAATGTTGTAAGGTATGTTTTACCACGTTTATTAAGAAAATTGTAAATCTCTCTTAGAAAGGGTTATTTTGTGCTCTGATTGGTCAATAGATTCACTAATGCCGTGTGCGATTTTTTCTTAATTATGATTGGTTACAGCCGCTTATAAAAAAAGGGGCGTTTTTTCGTGGTAAAATATTCCAAATCCGGCAATGTAATAATAAGGAATCAAGAAATAAAATAGGAAGAAACTCTCAAGAAGTGTTATTTATTGCTCATCTAACTGCTACTGTATGCTCTCCAGTTAACATCCCGCCAGCAAACCCGCTCTATTTTATCGACGCTCCCTTATACGAGCAATCACAGACTGATTAAGGAAGTTGATTTTCTATGCCTTTTTTAATGTCAAACTTAATCTATTCTTATTGCCCGCCCGTCCCCTACGTTATAATCGGATGGAAAGACAGTAATGCTAGCATATTATTCTACTCCTTTGCACAAATGGTTTGCTTCGTCGTTGTGTATGCTGTACGCATTATGAACGACGAAGCAAACCATTTGTTACGAATGCGTGGTATGTCGACATCAAAGTTATTGAGACCGGCTAAGCGTCTGCTGGAACGGAGATGGAGAAATTAAGTCAAACTAGTTTTGCGCACACTCTTCGAAATATAACCCGTATAACACCGAAAGGCTTACTACTTTGTGCCTGTACACGATCTGTTATGGTAGATTTTAACCACGTAGTAATGTCATTAAGAAGATTCTTAAATAATATTGCATTAATGTTTCTATTTAAAGGGTGATGATTATGACAGTGATGGTGATGACGATAACGATAAAGACCTGCATCTAAATCGTCGATTGTGACAACACAATTACAAATGAACTGTTTTTATATTTGATTATCGCAGTAGGTACTAGATGTCTCGCCTTTTTGACGCTGCTCGTCGTTATCTCTATAGATTAAAGTATCTATCTGGTTTATACTAGATGGTAATACCGTCATCTAACGGAGGCACACTACTTAAAATTCATTTTATAAAAGTATTGTAAAATACTAATTGAATTATTTCTCGGAATCGACTTCAACGATTTTGATGAAATTTTGTACTTAGATAATGTTTTATTTTCAAAGTTTCTAGATAGGTGTTATCGAATCATTTATTTCAATCATTTCATCAACGAAAATATATTTTTTTCTAACCGATTATAATTTTTTTTTCTTTACAGAATAGTCATTACATACTTCCACGAAACGTTAAGCCCTTGAATTACAAATTAATTTTGGCACCAAATATTTTCAATAAAACGTTTGTTGGAGATGTGAAAATTCTCCTGCAGGTTTTAAAGCCGACGAAATCGATAACCATGCACGCAAAGAATTTAATCATCCATTCAGTGACTTTAAAAGACGCTGAAAATCACACTCTTGATATAATATCAATTACTTCTTCAGGTGATTTAAATAGTGAAATGTTACAAATAAATTTACAACGTACTTTAAAGCAAATGGACGCTGTACTCTTAATTCACTTCTCTGGAAGGCTAGATAAAAAAATTATTGGATTCTACGCCAGCTCCTAAAAAAATGGCGGGTAAGTATATTGAAGTACCTTACTACGTACCAATGTAATAGTGGTTGCGCGGAAAACCATTCGCGTTTTTTATTTGACGGTAGGAACTTGTAGAATCATTATTCCTTTCCAAACAATATCATTCGTACCCTCCTATCGACACATCGGGGTGGTGGGGTGGGAGGGGAAAGAAGACGATTCTAGAACATCGCGTAATCACCCGAGCCGAGGATATATAAGACACGCGCGACCGATGCGCGAGCCTCTTCTCCCGCCGCAGTCGTCGTTGAACCAACTCTTCTCTCCTGACGAGGTTCCGGAAGTCGCCGCCATAGTGATCGACAGGAAGAAGAAACCCCGGTGAGTCAATATTCCTTAATTATACCTGCTTGCTAATAGTTTAACCCGCTCCAATCTGTGTTTTTTTTCCTAGTCAAGCAGGATTCCTTTCATCGATTCGACAAGTAATAGTTTAGTTTAGGGAAGAGCGAGTGCATTGTACCGCATGCTATAGTAGTCGCTTTTACGTAAGCGTAGAAGCAATCGCATATACAGTCCACTTTAGTTAATATCTCGCGTAATAGGTTTGAGGTTTGACCGGGGAACTAGATTTTCGGCAGCCTTAAACACGTGGCTCCACCATTTTATGGTCACTTCGGCAGGATCTGGATTGGTGTTTAGTGGTTATCCAACCATTTTCTGGTCGAATTATTAAATTAATTGTTTAGATAACGCACTCTAATTTATAGAATAGACTTAAATAGTGTTCGTTTAAATTAAAATTTTGATTTGTTACTCGCAAACAGAATTATTCATTTAATAGCGCTCGTATTTGGTTAAATTTAAAGCTTATTAAATAATTGAAACGGCGTGATAGCAACCGTTTGATACGCTTACCCCACAATTTTATAAAATTATTAGGTTTAGCAAACGACGCGTAGCCTTGACTGCATCGGGCGCTCGATCTGATTACGTAATACGGCACGCCGAGTATTCATCCTACGTCGTTTATGCGTGTGAGATTAATTGTGATTAATATAACTTTATTATAATAATTTAAAATGGCAGTTAGTGGAAGTGAAATCAAAATTAAAACGCTTTATGCCAAGAGGGACATACTCTTTTCGCATGTGCAGAATATAAGTGACTATATAAAGAACATTCATATAGAGGCAGTACGGGAGGCCTTTTTAAATGAAATCGAAACGATAGATAATTTGCGGACAGATTACGAAAGAATATTAGATCAAATTAATCATTCGGAACTACAAACCGACCCGAAATACATAGTGAACTACCAACCGCTGCTGGCATTCGAAGATATGTTGTGTCGCGTGAAGAGAACCGCAAAATTGCTACAATCTCAAGGTGAAGCGAAGCCTGAAATGCAGGTACGCCCTCGTGACTCAATTAGGTTACCGCCAATAGATATTCCGGTATTCAATGGTGATATTAAGACGTGGCCCTTCTTCTTCAGTAGTTTACAAAACAATATACACAACAACCCATCGTTATCGGACGCTGAAAAATTATATTACTTAATTAGTAAACTTAGTGGCAGAGCACAATCGATATGCTCGGGTTTTACACCTACAGCAAACAATTACTTATTAATATTTGAAACGCTTAAAACTAAATATGAAGATAGGAGAATGTTAGCTTCCGAATATTTGAACCAGATATTCGATCTTAAACCTATATCATCCGCGAACATCAACGGCTTAGAGCAGTTTCTCGATAAATTTGTGGCATCGGTGGCTGCACTTAAGAATTTGAAGTTTAATGACCTCATGGACGTGGTGTTTCTCCATATAGCATTAAAGAAATTAGACTCCGACACCGTGCGTGCGTTTGAAATGGAGCATCGTAGCTCGGAGATGCCTTCCTTTCATTCATTAGCATCGTTCGTGCGAGATCAAATAAAGGTGATGCAGCGCTCACCGAACGTTAAACAGGAGATTAAAAGGTGCGTCGACCGTAGACAGACTCAACCATCTAAAATAGCAGGGTCGTTAACTTACGTAACCGCTACGCCGACATCACTCCAGCATACTTGTATAGTATGTAAAGATAAACACGGTAATTTATATAACTGTGCGACTTTTCGTAAATATTCACCAAGCGAACGTTATAAGTTAGTAAAAACAAACAACCTATGTTTGAACTGCTTAAGCGATAAGCATTTAGTTGCAAAATGCAATTCGAGTTCCGTATGTAGCAAGTGCGCCAGGAAACATCACACGCTATTACATTTTGAAAATAGCAACATAGCGGCGTCAAGTAAGGCGAATAAGGAATTCATCCCTACTAAGGTCAACGATTCTAGCGGTCGACCTGGTGATGTCGCTCTGTGCTCATTGGCAAATATGGGAGCACAACCTCCTTCAACCGTGTTACTGGGTACGGCGCGTATTTTGGTTAGGGATTCGCGTGGAAACAAACAAAGCGTCCGTGCACTGCTGGACAGCGGAGCCCAAAATAGCTTTATAACACGACAATGTTGTCAGCGCTTAGGCTTAGTAATAAATAGGTCACTTTCATGTCCTGTAGTTAAAGGCATCGGAGGTACTAGTAAAGCGACACAGGGATATATAAATTTAAAATATTATTCTCGGATAGATCGTAACGTTAACTTTGATATAAATGCACTAGTAGTAGATAGGGTCACTGAACGGTTGCCAACCGTTTCGGTTGACACCTCGGCAATGATTGAATTTAAAAATTTGACTCTAGCAGACGACACTTACGCCGTTCCTGGAAACATAGACATGCTCATTGGGGCATCGCTTTTCCCTCATCTTTTGTTAAACAATAAGGTCAGGGGCAACTCCTCGCATACCGCGCCTTACGCACTGGAAACCGTATTGGGCTATGTGATCCTTGGCTCCGCCCCCATCCTAGATAGTATTTCGGCAGCCTCTTATTGTGGTATGGCTGTCGAACCGCTCGAGTCGTTAGTCCGCAAATTTTGGGAGATGGAGGAGGTGAACGTCCCACCCATAGCTAGTTCAGATGACAGGATATGCGAGGAAATTTACGTCCGCACGACCGTTCGTGATCGCGACGGTAGATATAGTGTAGCGCTACCCTTTAAGGGAGATGTTTTATCTCTCGGCGATTCGCGTCAAATGGCGGAAAAACGTTTCTACAGCTTGGAGCGTAGGATGCTCGCTTCGCCCCAGTTAAAGGAAGCTTACGACGGCGTCATTAACGAATATATAAGAGAAGGTTACATATCACTTGTGGCTTCGAAATTAGATAACTACGAAGACACACCGTCGTATTTTATACCACACCACGGAGTCATTAGAGAGGACAAACTTACATCTAAATTACGTGTAGTGCTCGACGCTAGTGCTAAAACTAGCACTCACCTGTCGCTTAACGATATCCTCTATAGTGGGCAAAATTTACAGGGCAGTTTATTTGATATAATAGTCAATTTTCGTTTGTTTAGTATAGCACTATCCGCCGATATTCGCCAAATGTTTCTTTGCATAGGGGTCCGTGAATGCGACCGTAGATTCCAGCGCATTTTATATCGTTTCCACCCAAAGGAACCTCTAATGGTGTTAGAATTTAACCGCGTTTGTTTTGGTTTAAAGTCGAGCCCATTTCATGCGTTACGCACGGTGAGACAGCTCGCTCACGATGAAGGTCCCTCTTATCCTAAAGCTAAGAGGGCAATTGAGAGCGGATTATATATGGATGATTTTGTGTATTCGGTCGATAGCGTGGAGGAGGCCACCCTAACCACCGCCGAGGTTATAAGGCTCATGAAATCGGGTCAATTCGATCTTGTGAAGTGGACTAGTAATTCGCGTCCGGTTTTAGATACAATCCCACTATCACACCGTCTTTCGGCGATAAAGGAATTTGACGATTCCGATACACACAAGGTGCTCGGTCTGTGTTGGTCACCAGAGTCCGACGTGTTTAGCCTTAAGGTAAATCCGCCCGTAGAGAAATGCACAAAGCGCACAATACTGTCATGCGTTGCTAGATTATGGGACGTCATGGGTTTCGTAGCTCCGGTGGTATTATACGCTAAGCTTTTGATTAAACAACTTTGGTTATTTGAATGCGATTGGGATGACTCGCCGCCTGACAGCATTGTTCGATTGTGGCAGCGCTTTAGAGAGGAACTTCCTTTACTAAGAGAAATTAAAATACCGCGTCATATAAATGTCGATAGAAATAGCAGCATAACGGTTGTTGGATTTGCAGACGCCAGCGAGAAGGCTTACGGGGGCGTTGTATATTTCCATGTCCAGAATAATGGTAGAAATTCGATTAGCCTCATTAGTTCTAAGTCGAGAGTCTCCCCCCGTAAGGTTGTCTCTCTGGCGCGCTTAGAGCTTTGCGCAATATTAGTACTCACCAAGCTTATTACCACAGTTATCGGCGCATGTAGGGATAGAGTTCACATAGAAAGAATATTTGCCTTTTCCGACTCCACCGTCGCCTTATGTTGGGTTCATTCTTCACCCCACCGTTGGGATACGTTTGTCGCGAACCGAGTGGCCAAGATCCAAGACGAGTTAGAAACGCGGAACTTTTATCACGTGTCCGGTAAGGAAAACCCTGCCGATTGTCTATCCCGGGGACTCACCCCGATGCAAATAATGGACCACCCGCTTTGGTTCCATGGACCTTCTTGGGTTTACTTGGATCCCTCACAATGGCCAATAACCGATTTCGAACCTTCGTCAGTGTCACAACCGCCGGAAGAGAAGAGGCACGCTCTAGTGGCGAACGTTTCGAGCGAGGTTTCTCCAATCATTACTCTGGCGAACCGCTTGTCCTCTTGGTCGAAATTATTGCGTAGCGTAATTTACGTTTGTCGATTCGCGAAGCTTTTACCGCGACGTCCGTATGTCTTAGCATCCGATTACAACTATGCCGAGTCGCTAGTATTACGTGAACTTCAACGTGCGCACTTCTCTGAAGAAATTACAAGATTACAATCGAATAGAGCTTGTAGTCGCGCCTTTCAACGCCTTAAGCCAT